ATTGAAAGCGAACAAAACTCATATAAGCAAAGCTATTGCTCTGCTTATGTGACCGCTATAGAATATAGTGATCCGATTTTCTTTAATCCGATAAATGATCAAGATCCACTTCCGAAAAGTATGTGTGCAAACTTTTAATTGAATTCTTTAGAAACTAAGAAACTGGACTTAATTCCACGACCAGCTGATAACATACCTTAACATCCTTTTTACACTTTTTCGGTTAAGGGTATAAAAATAAAGTTGTTAATGAAAAATATATAAATTACATATTTTTATTCACACAGCCGAGACCCAAGTATTTTTGTAAAGAGGGCTGATACTGGCAACTGAGAAATACTTTAAGTAGTTCTAAGCATATTTTAGTTTTAGAATTAAGTTTTGTTAGCTACTTTCATAAAAGAATCTTAATCCAAACAATACTCACACTCGATACCTTTTCCTATTACTGTCTTACTACTGCTGGGATTGTATTAGTTTTTGTTGTGATTTGGCAAATCTTTAATTTATTGTATTAATTTAAAGTAAATGTTAAAAAAAATAAAAACAAAAAAATGCAACAAAAAAATTATTTCTCTTGCCAGTATTACATATTATAGTACTTTTTTGATTTTTTAATTTAATTTTTTATCATTTGACGTATTTTTACTGAATCGTTAATCTTGCGGTTTCTCTATTATGAATCATTCGCCACATATTCTGGGGCAAAAAATGTATAAACCCCAAGATTGCGATTTTAATTATTAATATTTAGATTAGTGTTAAACTTAATTATAATATATTTTTTCTCGGGACTGTCTGGCAAATTTTTAATTAAAAATAAAAAATTAATAGCTTTTAGCCTTTTAATCTTAATTGATTTGCTCTTCAGCGGAATTAAAACTTCGAATCAATTTATTGAAAAACTAAACATTTTCATACTGTGTAATAAGTAATTTTTCTCAAAACGTTCATTTCTGATTGATATTTTGTCAAGTCTCTTTAATCAACAGATAACAAAATAATGTAAAAATATTAAAAGATTTATTGTATTCAGCCAGATTAGCTCATCAAGAATCATTGCCAATAGATCCTTTGTACCAAGTCATTGAGCTGTCATTAAGAATATGGTCACACTCTGCTCCAAGTTGATTTTGAGTGCCCTTTTAGGTCGGTTTTTGCTGCTCAGATTTTTTGTATTACACAAAGATTTTCATGACCGGCTTCAATTAGTGAAATTAGCATCTAATGAAAATAGTGGGCTGCAATAACCAGAGTTTTAGCAGATAATTTGATATTCTTTATTAGTTTGACTGGATTCTGGAGAGATTGTAGCTCTTTATAAGACTAAAACATGTCTAGTTTTAGATACACAGAAAAACAAGATTATTAAAAAGTATTCTAAAAGAAATATATCTAATATAATACATATATCTAATATTTGCTATTATTTACTTTATGCCCATCATTTCAAAATTTCTAATCTATTCTATAGACAGTTTCAATAAAATATTT